TTATAGATAAATACGTGCATACACGCAGACACATATATGTGCATTTGGTGTCAGGGGTTACCGCCAGCCATGAGTGTGTGTGCGCGTGCGAGCGTGTGTACAGGGGGCACGTGACAGAGACTCCCTTCTCCCTCGATCGCCCTAGCAGTTCCCTCTGGGGTCCACTTTGCACAACTCCAATCCCTGCTGGTCCCCTTTCCTCCCACCCTCCAATCAAGAGAGGCGGGCAGATGTCAGTGGAGGCGACACCGCCAGGTACGCGCCCCCCTCCCCCGGATGCAGATGGAGGAAACTGAGCAAGGCGCGGTGGCGGACAGTAAACTGAGGCACCGGAGGGAGGACAGGGGCGCAGCGATGGGGACAATAGCTTGATGCGGCAGTGGAGGAGGAGTGGGGCTCAGGGAGCTGGAGGGAGGGCGGGCGATCCGCGCTGACAGCCCTCATACCGGAAAGGCAGTGCAGGGGACCCGGTAGACGTGGCCACTTCCGTACTGGACCTTGGTAGGGTGGACGGGAAGAATAGGGAGACGGGAGACGGGGGGAGGGAAGGTTTCTTGACGGCTTAGGGGTGGGGGAGCCGGGTCCAGTACCTCTTCACCACCACGTGACCCCGGACCTCCCCACCACCCCGCGGGGCGGCAGGACTCGAACTTGGATCTTCGCCCTCCCTCTCCCCTTTTCTCTCCCCTCTCGCCCTCCGAGACGTGGGGGGACAGTGGGGCGACCTACCCACCCAGGAGGAGTCCGTCCAGGTCGAAGATGAGGTGGGTGACGCAACGCGGTTGAGGGGGGCAGGTGGCCATGCTCGGTGTCTCCAGGGTTGCAATACCCTGAATTAGTGCAAGCCGGTTGTGGCACCTCCTCCTCCCAGGGAGCCGCGTTGCGCAGGCGCAAACCCAGCCTCTCCTCCCCACCCCCCTGCAAATCAAGAGGCACATCTAGTGTGCGAACTGTCCATCAAGGCGTTGCTAGGGGCAACGTCGGAGATACGCCCTCTGCACAATCCTTTCCCGCCCTCTGGCTACACAACAATTGGCACGTCCGGTGTCCCATCAGGCGAGTTCTGTCAATCACTGCGTTGCCAGGACAACCTGGGACTGGAGATACCGCCCTTTCTTTTCTGGCAACCTTCCTTTCCTCCTCTGGCTGCACAACAGTATGCACTTCCGCTTACGAGCGGGCGTGTCCAGTCAATTATGGTGATGCCAGAGACGTCCTGGGTCTAGAGGTCCTGCCCTTTCTTGCTCCTTAGGTGATTCTTTGAGCTGGTAAACAAGGAGGGAGATGGAAAGAGTGTGAGAGTTCTGGCTCCTGTTATATACACACATGCTGCGTGATGGTATACATTATATACGTTAAATGTGTGTGGATTGTATATGTTATGTGTATTAAGAGATGTGTTTTACTCATGTGTCCCTGAGAACATAAAGTGGGGGCAGGCTTGGGGAGCTTCACCTGGTGTTCTTGCTCATTTTATGCGGGTATTTACATTATGGTATATATTATATACGTGAAATAGATATGAATTGTATACATTAAGTATATATAAATACATGTTTTTACTTGTGTGTGCCTGGAAGATGGAGTCAGGCAGGATAGACAAGTGGGACTCCTGTTTTTGCTCATGCTTTCCATGCATATATGTTATATATGTTAAATGTAGATATTATTACACACATTAAATGAATGTAAAATACGTATTTTTTCTCGTGTCCTTAGAAGATGGAGTAATGGCTCTATGGCCAAGCAAACTTATTCTATGTACATATATAGGTTAGTATACATATTATACATGTTAGAATATATTAATTTATAAACATTTATATATATAAATACATGTTTTGTTCATATGTCTCTAGAAGATGAACTTAATGGCAGCCCCACAGTTATTGGTCATTTTATATATGTGTTATTGTATCTTATATAGATTAAACATATATATGTACATACATATTTTATTCATGTGTTCCCAGGTGATGAGCTAGTGAGAGTACTGAAAACTGGCTCCACTCTACTTGCTCATTATACATATATGTGTGTATATATGTATATATATATATATATATGATGTCATGTGGCTTTTCCAAGGATTTCATGTGTCTCGTTCAGGATGTCATGTGACCCCCCAAGATGTCAAATGTTACCCCCAGGATATCATGTAACAGAATCGGTGGTAGAAACATCTTTATTTTCAGTACTCAAGAGATAGAGGCTTGTCTATGTACATATAATATATGTATATATATGTGTGTATGTATATACCCACACCCCCAGGATGCCATGCCCCCTCATACAAGATGTCATATGATTCAGGCGTCACTTGTAGGTAGGCATACTGAACATCTTGGGCCAGAAATCCTCCAGGGAGAGGAGTACCAAGATATATTTTGAGATACATATATACAGTTTAACCAATCTGTCTATCCAAATCTATATATGTATATATCCAAAGCTATATTGATCCATATATATATATATATATATATATACACACAGTCCTTGATCTATCAAACATATGTATATATACATATATATGTATATATATGTACACACACACATACATATACCTTTGAAATACCCAGATCACGAGTCCCCAAATGTAAATAATATTTATTCATATATATATATATATACTATAATTTGGGTATTCTTGTATATATTAATCTATCTTTATATACATACATACCTTGATCTATCCACACATGTGTATATATATACATACGTTGATCTATATACCCTTATATATTACATATGTATACACATACCTTGATCTATCAGTCCATATATATTTATACATTGATCTATCTATATATACACAATGATGTAAAAATTGTAAAAATTCTTATATATATGCCTTTATCTAAAAAATCTATCCATATATATACATATATATCTTGAAATATATATGTTTATATATATAAACAATACCTCCAGTGAGAATGGCCTCATCACACACACACACACACACACACACACACACACACACACACACACACGGCTCACAGGTCAGATATCATGGGGTTCTCAAGCTGAAGGTCGCAGCCCCTCTTGCATGGAATGACCTTCTCCCAGGGTCACAGGGCCGATACCCTGTGGTTCTCATTCTGGGAATATACATGGCTATCCCAGGACCTATGGAGAGGCTTAACTGGGACTATACACGGGTATTCATGAATCTATGGAACGGCTTCGCTGGGACTGCACATGGGTATCCAGGGACCTAAGGAATGGCCTCCCTGGGACTATACACATGTATTTAGTGACATATTGAGTGTCCCTGTTGTGATTGTACATGGGTGTCCAGGGGTCTATGGAATTGCCTCACTGTGACTATGCCTGTGGACTGTTCTCACTGTGAATGTTGATACATGGGAATCCAGAAACCTACAGAATTGTTCTCAGTGGGACAATACACAGGTATTCTGGGATCTACAGAATATCCTTGCTGGGTCTATCCACAGGTATCTAGGACCTATAAAATATAGTCACTTGGACTATATACAATCATATTCAGGGACCTATGGAATGTCCTCTCTGTAACTATACAAGTATAATCATGGACCTATGGAATATGTTCACTGTGGCTCTACACAAATATTTATGGACATATGGAATGGCTTCACTGTGACTACACATGGATATCTAGGGACTTATGGAATACAATTGCAGGGCCTATACAGCTGTATCCAGGAAACTATGGAAAGGCATCTCTTAGAATATACATGGCTATCCTGGATCCTATGATACGTCCTTTCTGGGACTACGGACAGGTATCTAGGGACCTATGGAATGTCCTCATTGGAAGATAGACATTCCCGGGACTTTTGAAATTTCTTGGATACATGGGTATCCAGGAATTGATGGAATAACCTTGATGGAACTATACATGGGTTTCCAGAGGCCTATGGAATGTCCTCACTATGATTATACACAGGTATCCAGGAACCTATAGAATCATCTGAGTGGGACTATAAAACAAGTATCCAGGGACCTATGGAATGGCCTCGCAGGGATTATATAAGGTTATTCAGGGAACTATGGAGTACTTTTGCTAGGACTATACACAGGCATCCAGGGACCTCTGAAATGTCCCTGCTGAGAATATGCATGGGTATTCAAGGGCCTAGAGAATGGCCTTGCTAAGACTATATACAGGGTACACAGGGTCCAGTGATCTATGGAATCCCCACACTAGGCTAACACACAGTGATACAGGGACCTATGAAGCACACTCTCTGGGAGTGAAAACGGGCATTCAGGGAGCTATGAAATGTCCTCACTGTCACTATACAAAGGCATTGAGAGATCTATGGAATAGACTTGCTAGGACTATACATCAGTGTCCAGGGACCTATGGAATGCTCTTGATGTGACTCTACATAGGAATCTAAGAACCTATAGTAATGTTTCACTGGGACTGTTCACAGGTATTTAGGTACCTAAAGAATGGCTTCGATGGGATTATACACATGTGTATATGGACCTATGGAATGTCCTCACTGGAAATTTTCATGGGTTTCCAGGAACCTATAGAATGTCCATGCTGGGACTATATACGGGTATTTAAAGATATATGAAATGCTGTCACTGGCACTATACATGAGTATTCAGCGTTCAATGGAATGTTCTTGCTGGGACTATTCACAGGGAGACAGAGATCTATAGAATGGCATTGCTGGGACTATACAGGAATATTAAGGGACCTTTGGAATGTCTTGTCTGGGGCTATATGTGTGTATCCAGGGACCTATGGAACGTCCTCTCTGGGTTTATAAATGGGTATCCAGGGACTTATGGAATGGCATTGATGGGACTATACATGATAACCAGGTACCTATGAAATAGGCTCACTGGGATTATGTCTATCTTGGGACCTATGGAATAGCCTAGCTATAACTATCCACAACTATCCATGTTACTATGGAATGTCCTCTATGGGACTATACAAGGGCATCCATGCACCTATGGAATAGACTCACTGAGACTCTATATGAGTATCCTGCAGCCTATGGAATAGCAGACTATATATGGCTATCCAGGAACCTATGGAATTTCTCTCTGGGACTATACATGGGTATCCAGGGTTATATGAAATGGAATTACTGGGACGATGCGCAAGTATTCAGTGATCTATGGATGTCCTTGCTATGACTATTTAAGACTGGAAAGAAAAAAAATATAGCTAGCTCTTTCAGCGTTGTATCCTAAAATTTTTAGCTAATATTCTAATTTTTTAATGGTACCCAAAGAGAGGTTTTTCACCAGACAACAAAAATAACTTTAAGAACACAATTCCCCCATTCCCAAGAGGTGGAGTAGGGTGTTGTTGGTCATTTGGTGGGTTATGGAATGGCCATGGTTAGGGGAAACAAAAATCCAACAAAGTAAAGTTTAAAATCAGTGATCTCTTTCTTCCCCCCACCCCATCTTTCTTTTTCTCTTATCTTTCTCTCTTAGCCAGTATTAGGCAAAAGAAGAAAAAAAAAGGAGGGGGTATATAAGATTACAGGATAAAAAATATATTGTTGAATCTACTAGTATCAAATATATGTATGGGTATGGATTATTGTATATTCATAGAAAAAAGGTAATTTTGTTCAAATTTTGCTCATTTGAAAATGTGTTGTAAAACTCTAGTCTTGTGAAGACTATTACAAACTGTTCGGGGTGATTGAAAATGAATATAGTAGTTAGCAACCTATAAATAATCTTACTTGTAGTCTTGTTAGATATTAGTTAATTACAGAAATAAACTTTATATAGACTCTTGTATATATTTTCAAGGTTAAGTAGATAGTTCATAGCTAGAGACAAGTAATGTTGCTCTGTAGATAGATATGATTATATGGTAGATAAAAAAAAGGTGGGCTTCAAACATTTAGAGCAATTCAGAATATGACATTTTAAAATATTTTAATAATAAAAGGCTTTTTTTTGACAGAGAGCCATATCTGCTCCTGGCATCACCTCTAATCTACTTCAAAGAAGATGATGGGTATCAAAGAAACAAGTGTGGCAAGCTAGGCATTGGAGAAAAAAAAGATGTCCTTCAGCTGCTGATAGAATGCTGTCTGAGCAAACTGTAAACAAACAGGATACTGGAAAATTGACTGTCCAATTTTGCAGAGACTATGTGGTCAGTTCTTCAAAATTCCTGTTTCACAGGAAAGCCTCTCTGACATTCTGGGCCAGAAGGCTAAAGATTGGATGCCCCAGTGACACAGGGAAACCTCTGGCCATCAACTGACTCTGTAATTTCTATAGTTCAGGAAGCTGTTTGCTCTATACTTCCTATATGGTTAGGTAATATTATTTCCTTCTGGAGTTTCTGAGGAGGTTGAAGACTAGATAGTTATAGTTTTACTACATTGTCTTAAGCTTAAGACAATGGTTTTTGTCTTAAAAAATGTTTTAAGGTCTAGATAGATGTTTTCAAGTTGATAGATATAAGAAAGCAGTGTAGGTATAGAACTTAGGACTCACCAGGACAGGAGAAACAGTAGAATACTTTTTCCAATATTGCCAAATACAAATGGACTGAACATCGTAAATGTAATTTTTACCTGATAATTCTCACAATTCTTATCGTATTTAGTTTATTAATGCTAAAGAAAAAGCCTTTTTTTTTTAACAGAAAGGGGAAAATGTTGTGAATGTTTTGGTTTCTGATATGTAAACATTTTTTTGTTGTTGTTGTTGTTGTTGGGGATTTTAGCTATGTTAAGTGTCCCATGTGGAGAGTGGTCTTTGCCAGGTGGAATTAGCTAAATTCTGAGGACTTTGAGAGGTGTAAATATGACAGCCCAGAGGAAGAAGGTGCAGCTGCTTAGAAGAGTTCTGCTTGCTGCTAGTTTGTCCTGCTGCAACATTTGCTGTTTGCTGATTTGCTGGTTACCTGGACTTCTGGATTTCTGGACAACTGATATTGGTATGACCCCCAAAGAATCCTATGACCCTACCCAGTGGGAAGTAGCAGAGAGAACTCCGCCCCTGTCCCCACTAACCTTTTTTCCTTCCTGATTAGAGTTGGGGGCTTGGAAGGGAGATAGAGGAATTCAATAACCATAAATAAAGTAGGTTTGTTAAAAAAAAAAAAAGTCAATTATATAGGTCCCTGGATAAAAAAGTCAATTATATAGGTCCCTGGATACGCAATGTATAGTCCATGTGAGGCTATTCCATAGATCATTGAATACCTGTGTATAGTCCCAGCGAGGCCATTCCATTGGTCCCTAGATGTACATGAAGAGTCTCAGCAAGGCTATTCTACATAGGTCCACAGACAACCTTGTATAGCCTCAGTGAGGCCATTCCATAGGTCCCAGGATACCCCTGTATAGTACCAGAGAGTACATTTCATAGGTCCCTGTGTACACGTGTTAGTCTTAGAAAAAAAAAAAAAAACATTCCATAGGTCCTAGGATAAACTGTATACACCCAGCAAGGGTATTCCATTGTTTCCTGGATACACAGGTATAGACCCAGTAAGGCTGTTCAAAGGTTTATGGATACCCATGTATAATCTCCGTGAGGCCATTCCATAGCCCAGAATAACACTGAATACTCCCTAAGCCAAGCAGTAGGTCCCTGGACATGTGTGTATAAGTCCAGAAAAGACATTCCTGTAATGATAAATGATAGATTGAGGAAATTGCTTACAAATTATTTCTAATGATTGTCACACAAAATATTGACATAAAGTTGGACTATTTAACATTCCCTGTGGCAACACCCTCCAGTGGTTTCTCTTTATTGGATGGGTGTTGCTCAGAGTAGGTACTGAGAAAGCAAACCTTTCCCTGTCCTGCCCATGCAAGGGTATTGTGAAAAAGCAATCCTTTAAGTAAATTATTATTATAGGCCAAGATCTAGGTAACAAAGAAGGCATAGGAATTCCAGGTTGTAAAGGACCCATTGGTTGAATGACTCTATTCACTGCTCTTAAATCCTTTATCATCCTTCATTTTCCTGATTTCCTTTTTAGAACAAACACAGAGAAATTCCAGGGGCGGGTAGACTCTTCTATATGTTGAGCCTCCAGCTGCTCTTGTACCAGTTGTTCAAGGGTACAATTTTTCTTTTTTTATTGGCCACTACTCTTGCCACACAGGTCTATTTGATAGCCACTTTAGTGACAAGGTTGTTGGTTTTTCAACAGTGGCCCTGCTTATGAATTAGGAAACTAAATCCCAGTGATGTCCTGTCCTTGAACTCTGGCCACAGCTTGTGATTGTTTTTGATTACACATATCAATATCTTCCCCAGGAACATCTGCCATTTCATTCCTAATTTCATGATTTGCTGTCTCTGGGTTTGCAGTAATATTATACTGAGTACCCCATTGTTGTAAAAGTTCCCTTCCCCATAAATTTATCTGTATGTCAGCTACATAAGGTTTCAACTTCCCTGTTTGCCTTCTGGTTCCACACATTTAATCCACCATATTCTTTGTCTTACTGGAGATAATTTGCCAATTCCTAGAAACTGTGTATAAAACTTCTGAAGTGGACATTTTGCATTCCAAGGTTTTTGGAAGAGGATACTTAAGTCAGCTCCTGTATTTCAGCACACTTCATTTGTACCATTAACTTTGGTCTCTGATCATTAAGCACTGTTTTCCAGAACACACATTTTCTGGTCCTCCCAAATGTGCCTGTTCTTTCTAATGGAGCGGTTTTGTTCTTGATGTAGGGAAACAGTATCAGCTGAGCAAATCTATCCCCTGCATCAATTTGCATCCCCTGTTTTAAATATGCCATGATTTTAATTTCTTCCTTGCAATCCCCATCTACAATACCTGGGTGTACAATAAATCCTTGAGAAGTTAATTCACTTTTCAAGACCATCTCTGCTGTTCCTGTAGGCAAGGGACCATAAACACCTGTGTTCAGTTTGTTAACATTCAACTCTTGGGGATATGGTAAGAGGTTTATCTTTATTATATGTATCAAATCTAAAATTCTTAGATTTTATTTTCCTGCCTGCCTATTATCTCCTAGCTGCCCAATGGAAGACTGCTCGTATTGTTTGCTGAGGGGCCTCGAGCTGACAGGCCCCTTCATTGGAAAGAATGTGTCAAATGCTTTACCTGGGTCTCATATCTTCACGCTCACCGTAAAAGCCATACTAGTGACAAACCTTACAGGTGTGAAGGATGTGGCAAATGCTTTACCCAGGTCTCAAGTCTTCACTCCCATCCCAGAATCCATACTGGTGAAAAGCCTTAGATGTGAAGAATGTGGAAAATCCTTTTCTCTTATCTCAGCTCTTCAAACTCACCTTAGAATCCATACTGCGGACAAATCTTACAGTTGTGAAGAATGTGGTAAATGCTTTACCAAGGTATCAAATCTTCACTCTCACCACAGAGTCCACATTGGTGAAAAGCCTTACAGTTGTGAAGAATGTGGCAAGTCCTTTACCTGGCCCTCAAATCTTTATGTTCATCACAGAATCCACACTGGTGAGAAACCTTCCAAATGTAAAAGAATGTAGCAAGTCCCTTACCCAGTTATCAAATCTTCACTTTCATCACAAAATCCATACTGTGGACAAACCTTACATAAGATAAAAATGTGGTAAATACTTTTCCTGGGTCTCAAATCTTTACTTTCATCACAGAATCCATACTGGTGACAAACTTTATACATGTCAAGAATGTCAGAAATCCTTTATCACATGTTCATCTCTTAGAAGGTATCAGAATATTCACATAAAACATAAACTCCATTATGTTTCTTAGTATTTCTCACAGTAATTTACTGCATTAATTTTCAAGGGGCCATTTTTTCCACAGATTCAAAGACTTTTATTAATCTTCAAAGCATAAACAATACAAGGAAAGTCTCTTTAGGAAGTTTTATACTTGCTGTACATTTAGAAATATTCTACCATGTCTGCTATAAAGAAATGGACTTTACAGACATATGATATGACTTTATTAACAGCTGAAGCCAGTCTCTGTATGAAGTCTGTGAAGGATTCTCCAGGGCATTGTATTATCTTAGTAAAGGGAATAAATTTTCCCAGGCTCCTCAGCCATATCTCAAGCTCTTAAAGCTCCGAAGCTCTCAACTTCCCTTCAAAACCCTGACCCTACGTAGACCAGAAAGGAGGTTAGTAGGGACAGGAGATATAGACCTTAGATTTAGTTCTTTTGGGGGATATTACACAATTCTTTGTCAGGATTCCAACAGTCCAGCAAATATTAGTGACACAAATCAGCAGTGCGTCCGTGTAGCATTCTCTAAAGCATTTCAGGAGCATTCTCTCTGTCTCTGTCTCTGCTACTATTTATATGTTCCCAGATTCCTCACAAGGATGTTTTTCAGCTGACAACACTCATGGCCTTCGCACTTGGCAGTTTCCAGCTGACAAAGATCACATGTCCTCTCACATGGCGGTTTCCATCTGGCAAAGATCACACATCCTCTCACAAGGCTGCTATCAGCTTTGGATAAACTAAAAAAATTTCCAAATCCCACACCACTTGTGATCACAACAAAAACATATTTACATAACATAGCTAAGTTAAAAAAAATACTTCCATTGTAGGCCATGCTTTAGGTAAAAATGAAGTTAAAAACATTGTAAGTTGTATGGAACCCATAGGCTGAATGAATTTATTGATTGCTCTCAGATCTGTTAACATCTGCTTTCTAGATTTTTAAAAAATGATAAATATAGGAGAATTCTAAGAGTTGGTGAACTCTTTTATATGTTGTTCCTCCAGCTGCTCTTGTACTAGGTCTTCGAGTACCTGTAACTCTTCATTGGTCATAAGCCATTACTCTACCCAAACTGGCTTCTCAGTTAACCATTTTAGCAGTAGGGCAGTTAGTGCTCTATCATCAGTGACTTCTCCATATAAATTGGAATAGCCAACCTCTCCTGTGTCCTGCTTATGGATGACCTGGATAAAACTATCTTTGATAACATCTTTTAATATCCTTTTTAGAAACATTTTCTTTTTTAATGGCTTGTCCTTAAAGTTGGAGTAATGCTAATTTGTCCTTTCCACTGTTTCAATAGCCGTAAAATTTCATGGCTATATTAGTCACATATGGCTTTAGTTTTCCCATTTGCCCTTCTGGTCCTATCCATTTTAGGCCTTGTTACCTGAGACAATGTCCCTTTAAAGTGGTCAATCTGGATGCTAGGAACCTTGTGAAATTATTATACATCTGCTCCTGTGTCCACTGAGCCTTCAATCTCAAGTTCATCTAACTGCAATCTTAACTTCGTTCTCTTATTTACAGTAGTTTACCAAAACATCTGTTTTCGGTGCTATTAGATTCTCTTGCTTTATCCCTAGGGGCTGTTCTATCTCTGTTAAATTTTCAAAACTTGAGTTTTGAGCAGCTCTGTTTGTCTTATCACGCTTTAATTTTTCTAGTTGCTTTCCAGAAGAGTTTTCTTGGCTGACAGGAAACAAAAGGCTCATATAGATTTTGCCAGGCCTTGAGCTAGACCCTTTAGTTAGTTTTCCAACATTAAGGAATTACCTTTTGTTGACCTGTGTTCATAAGCCCGATGTCTGTTCCTTCCATATTTTCTGCCTTTCACAGAAAACTTCCTCCCTGAATAATTGCTATAGAATATTTTATCTTTAAAAACTGTTCTCCTATAGTCTTTTAGGGGATGGCTTGATCTTTCACAGATACAACAAAGGGCATTTTGAGTTTTTATATCTTTTGTAATTGTCCAAACACAACTCATTTGTAAGCATGAGATTCAATATCTGTAGGAGTTTCAATCCATTTATAAATAGGTGCAAATGTCTAATGGCTGTTTTGCATTCAGCATTAACATTTCCAAAAGCCAAAGATTCAATGAAAATTTCTAGAGATCTGATATTATTCTATTTAGAGCTGTAGTTAATCTTTGTAAAAAGTCAGTGAAAAATTCATTTGAACCTTGGGTTATGTTTTTAAATGATTCAGATGGTCCCTGTTGTTCAACCTTGTCCCAAGCATGTAAAGCTATTGTATGACATTGTTCTAAAATGGCATCGTCAAGCATAATCTGAATCTTAATTCAGAATATGGACCTTCATGTAGTAACTGATCCACGACAATATCAATGCCTCTAGTTCTATTTAATTGCTTCATAACTGCAGACATCTTTCTACCTTGTTAGCCACTGTAGTTGAGGGTCAGGTCCTAGGATGGCTGTCATCATTTCCTTTCAGTATTTTGGAATTATATGATTTTGAGCGACCTCGTTATTAAGTATCTGTTTTACACATGATGAGTGTAAGCCATAGGTCATTACTACTTTTTTTTTTTAAATTATACTTTATTTACTTTGTATCCTCCCTCTAGTTCCCTTCCTCCTCCCTTCCCAATTCCTCTCTTCCTTCCCCTTCTTCACACACTCCCCTCCCCAAGTCCACTGGTACTGGAGGGTTTCTTTTTCTTCCTTCTGACCCTAGTCTGTTAAGTCTCTTCAGGAGTGGCTGCACTGTCTTTCATTACTACTTTTTAAAATCTTGTCAAATCTTGTGCCTCTCTGGATCTCCACTGCAATTCTTCAAAACCTTGTGGACCCTGTTCATCTGGTGCTAATTTCTTTATCATAGCTTGAAAAATTATTTTAGGCTTTTTAACAGATTTGAACTGCAATTTGCAGTCTCATAACAAGGTGGTGCAGTAGATTTTAGATTGGAATTTGAAAATTCTTTAGATTCAAAGGATTGTCTAATTTTTGTTCTATTGTTTGTAAGTTACCATGGATATTTAAACATCTTTTCTTATCTAACTGTGCTTTATTATTATCTCCCTTAAAAAGGATATATAAAATTGCAGTCATTATCAAAAATTTAATGATTTTTATGCTGATTAACAAAACAAAATTAAACAGGATCCAAATGGCCTCCATCATTGCAGTCTACATTTTTTAAGACATAAAATATATATTTTAAAAAATATATAATTCTCTTTTTTTCAGGAACTTAATTTTATTATTTTTCAAACTATTTATACATTTCTTTGGTGTTTTTACACTGAATATTTTTCTTTCTTTCTTTGACACTTAAGCACACTTCCAAGCATACTTATTGGAAACTCTGAGCTCAGGTCTTCAGCTTTTCAATCTGAGCTAGGATTTCTTCTGCAGCTCAGCTGAGCATGTGTTGGTGGCTTCTGGCTCTGCCTCCCTTGGGACAGTTCATTCCTTTGCTCAACTCTGGATTCAGATTAGGGGGTTTGTGTCCTGCCACATTAGGCAGTGCCAGTGCCTCTGGGTGTAGCGTGCAGAACACCTGTCTTCTGTCCCTACTGGCCATACTGCACTTTCAGAAACCAAAACTGCTGTGCCTGAGGCTCCACCTTGCTTGTTCTACAAGGGTCAAACTTAGGTCATGGTGCCAGCAGCTGGGCACCACTCCGTCTTCTCCTGCTGCCTTGACTCTGGTCTGCAGTGTGCCTTAGACCTTTGCTCACAGAACGTAGTGTCTTGTGTAGCCCACCAGATAATAGAATGGGAAGATGCATTGCATTACACTTGGGAGAACTTGTAGCATATTTGCACTGAGGCTCTGTTCTGCTTTTTCCTCAAGGATCCAAGCCTCCAGCCTGGGTAACAACAGAGCAATGAGCTATTGCTAGGCAAACATTTTCTCTGCTTTGCTGCTGGAACTTTTCTCAGGTTTTAAGCTTGGATTTGGCCCAACATATGGTGTGCCAAGTAAAAATGTTTGTTGCCAAATAAAATCAGACTTTCTTGGGCTGCCGGCTCACAATAATTACGTGGAGAACTTTTATACTTATTAGAAGATTAGGAACTGTAGCTGGTATAGTCGCAGCTGTTCTAACCTGACAATACTGGACTGACCTAAGTTCGGCCAGGTGGCCCGTAACCTGTTCTCAGTACCTTAGTTCTGGCACCTGTTCTTTCCTCTGTGTCTGGCTGGCAATGCCTCCTGTGCGTGATTCTTTCCCAGAGTTCCTTTCCCTTCCTGGAAGTACCACTTTCCTTTCCTGCCTTTTGGGTCATTCTGTTTCTTATTAAACCAATTAGAAAGTGTTGAAGGGAGTATTTAGAAAATATGATACAGCTAATAAATAACAATACCAAAGTCCAGCGTGTAATCAGATCTCTGCTGATTTAGAAACTAGTATTTGAAATAATAGACATACAATTTTTACAAAATGCACAAAAAAATCATCCCAACAATTGGTACCCATTTTTCCACTGGAGAATGTCTATCTCTGTTTTTATAAAAGAAGGACAAAATAAGTACAGCATTTCAGGACATGATGATACATTTTCAGAAATTATGGGGCCAAAGCCGCGCGCGCGCATACACACACACACACACACACACACACACACACACACACACACACACATGCTTAGTAAGATTCTGTTACAGAAAAAAAAAAGACACGAATCTCATGCAGGGAACAAAAACAATGATCACAGTACAAAGATACTAAGGTAAAATTATTTAATTTTCTTTTAAATTTATTCATTTTATATCCCAATTGTAGCAC